TTTTTTTTTTTTTTTTTTAGTCTCGCGGCAAATTGAAAGGAATAACGATGATCATTTTTCGACGATGGTCGAAACGGCCGATTCGGAAAATTTTCGGCCCTCGCTCGATCGAAAAATATAGCACGGTTCCGTTGAAATACGCTCCTGCGTTGAACGTTGCTCTTTCACGCGTATAGGGAAATTGGCCTGTTTGGAAATATTAAGCAAGATTTAGTATGCACACCCGTTTTGGGTTATTTACCGATTTTCGATGTATTCCTTTTTTTTTTTTTATTTTTTTTTTTATTTGTCTTTAGCGGGATAAAATATTTTTGTTTGGAATAATATTTGAAACAATTGTTATTGCGATGTGTTATTTTATTTAATCTGATTTCGTGATTTTTTTTCTTTTTTTTTTTTTTTTTGTGAAATTCTCTGAAAAATATTTTATCTTTGTTCATCTTTGGAATAAAATTATTATTATTATTATTATTATTATTATTATTATTATTATAGCATAACTTGATATTTTTTTGTTTCCTTCCTTTTTTTATTCGCGTTAATTGTTTGTCAAAATAAATTTTCCCAGTAGAAACTGTTTAATGAAAATTTTCGTCATAATAGCATAATATTGTAAAACCGTCTTGCTTTTGACGATGAAAATTTTCACGTAAAAAATACAAAAAATATATACGATGTATAATACAAATTCAGAATTTTTGCACGTATGTATAATTTGGCATTTGTACAAGAATATCGCGTAATATTAAAATTCCTATAATATATAAAAAATAGACCGTTACGCCATATTATCGTATTATCGATTTTTTCAACAATTTCATTAACAAAAAATTAAATATTCATCCAAGTTACGCCATAATTATCGAGCGAAAAGAAGAAAAAAATTTCACCCGAGCAAAAAGAAGCCAATTAACCACGCTATTACTTCTATTAATTTTCTCCCCTAAACAATTATTTTCATTCGAACAAATAATTTTCTATATATTTCGAATGTGAATTTCCAATATGTTTACATTTTTACATTGATAAAAATCGTAATATTATTGGCCGCTTCTGTTTTGTTTCCTGTTTGTTGCGTGAAAACGTTCATACGCGAGATATTTCAACGAAATCCTATCCGAATTGAAATCCACTTGAAAATGGTTTCGGATTATTTTTTAAA